CCTCCGACGGCGGCGGCGGCGGCGGCGGGAGCGACGGCGGCAGAGGGCCGCCAAGCCCCAGCGGGGGGGCCCGCCGCGCCGCCATCAGCCGCTGACGGCGGCGCAGCGCGGCCCCCGAGAGGGCGGCCCCGCGGGCGGACGCGGCCCCGGCCCGAGTGCGCACCTGAGCGAGGGGCGGGCTTGAGCCAGAGGGGCTTGAGCCAAGGCTCGAGCCAAGGACTGGCGGGGATACGCTTTTTGATTCGCGGCCCGCAAGGAGAAGTCCAGAGGGCGATGTGAACGAGGCTGGGACACAGCGCACGGGGAGGCAGATAATTAACGGCGCAGCACAAGTGCCGGCCAGGAAGAAGCAGCTGAGCATGTGCCAGCAGCAGAAAATTAACAACGCTGAACATGCGCCAGCGAGGGATGCAAATGGGAAGAACCAGCCGCTGAGCGTGTGCCGGCGAAATGGAGAGAAAAAGGTCGGACCCGCAGGTGGGGCCAGACTGCCAGGCGGAAGGTGCCAAAACCACTCACTCACTTGGAACGTCGGCCAGACAGTACGCCGCTGAGGGGGATTCGGGCCAAAGCCTGGAGATGGCCGACCATAAAGGAGATCGCCCGCGATGGCCCCTGGTACCAAGGCGGCGCGCGGTTTGCGCATCTCGAAGGCACTCCTGTGACTGTAGCCGACGTCTAACACGAGCGCCAGAACGGTGCCTGACTGGCATCCTTGTCCGCCGATGCCGACAAGCGGCCGACCGTACTGTCACCACGCCCATGTGAAAGGGGGGCCAGAAGCCGCCGTCCCAACGGGCCACGAAATGGAAGCCACCGCATGTTGCCGACCCCAAAGGGTGGGCACCCGAAATGGCTGAGGCCAGCGTCCCGTGTGTCCCGGCCCGCGTACGTCGCGGGCAAAATTAGAATGTAGGATGCCGAGGGCGGACGAAGCGCCTTGAGCGAGCCTTCTCGGAGCACTACGGGCCGACGCAGCGGCCAAACCGACGGCGGGATTATTTCAGCCGGCCGAACGGGCTAAAGGCCCACGCGGACGCAGGAGCTATCTCGGTGGTGGGGGGGCACCTCAACCCCAGGAGGTAACAACAGTCCGCCCCAGTGGCCCACTGCATCGGTGAAACAGGACCTGTCGCAGTCAGCCGACAGGAGTGGCCACCTGGTGGTGACCCAGTGGCCCAGGGGCCCACAGCAACTCTTCCTCCTTCGGAAGTCGCACCCTGTGGCGACGAAAAAGGGGGGTTAGCAGCCGATAGCCGCAGTCAAGAGTGTAGAATCGGGGGGTCAGCAGCCGACCGCCGCGGAATGACAGCACGTGGCGACGAGGAATGGGGAGTGCAGCCGATAGCCGCGGAACTGGAGAACGTGGCGAAGGGTTAGGGTGAGCGTCCTGGCCGCAGGACATCGTCTGGGGTGGGAACGTCCTAGGGAAGTCCCACGGTACCCGTGCACGGCAAATCCTCCGCTGAGGGGGTTCACGCGTTGTCCCGGCGACCTGACGCCGTACGTCTTGGCGGCTTTTGTAGAGACGACCTCGCCCTAGTCGGGGGGCTCCTGCCAGGCCCTCTGCCGGTCTACCAGCGCGCGAGCTCCCATCCTCGCTGTCGCTTGTCGGCGTATTGATCGTCACTCTTTGGGGCGGTCCTTTTCTCCCTGTTCCCCCACGAAGCCCCCTTCCAAGAGCTATCCTGATGGTCCCACCCTTCCCATCGCGGCCTTGGGCGCCATGGGGGGGGCTCCAGAGCTGGATGCTCCCGACCAGGTATTCTCCCTGTCGGTGCACGCTGGCGGGGCGGCTGTGCCGTCTCTGGGTCTGCTCCATGGGTGCTGCGGCGCAGCCCCACTGTATGTGCTGGAGGGCCGGGTCTGCTCGTGGTGACTTGCCCTGTCGGGTGGGTCAGGGGGGGTGGGTACCGTCCTTCTGTCGGACCAAGGGTATAGGTTGCCCTTGCTGTCTTGCCCCTCGGTTGCGCTGGCCCTTGCGCTGCGATATAGTAGGCTACGATATTTGTCAGCGACCTTTTGCCATTCAACACGGAGATGGTAGTGTCTCACCAACTTGGTGGGGATACGCGGAGAGTCAAATTATCCCGGCAAAGCAACCTAACAGCGATGTGTATAAGCATATCTGGAAGTGTTCCCCTTAAGATTCAGGGAAGAATCCAGTTGTAGAATTCTGCTGTTCTCGCAGTCGCCGTCGCATTCGCAATGACAGTCGCAGTGGCAACGGCCTTAGGATCCAATGGAATCCTAAGGATTCCGATGGATTCCTAAGGCATCCTTAGGCATCCTTAGGAATCCATAGGAATCCTTAGGAAACCTTAGGACTCCTTAGGAATCCTGATTCCTAGGGATTCCTAGGGATTCCGAAGGATTCCTCGGGAATCCTAAGAATTCCTAAGGAATCCTGAGGATGCTTAACTATGCCTACGGATTCCTAAGGATGCCTACTCATTCCTAAGGATTCCTAGGGATTCCTAAGGATTCCTATGGATTCCTACGGATGCCTCAGCCTGCCTCGGCTTCAGCCTCAGCCTCAGCCTGCCTCGGCCTCAGCCTCAGCCTCAGCCTCAGCCTGCCTCGGCCTCAGCCTCAGCCTGCCTCAGCCTCAGCCTGCCTTGGCCTCAGCCTGCGTCAGCCTCAGCCTCAGCCTGCCTCAGCCTCAGCCTCAGCCTCAGCCTCAGCCTGCCTCGGCCTCAGCCTGCCTCGGCCTCAGCCTGCCTCAGCCTCCCCTCCTCCCCCCCCTTCCCCCCCCCCCATTCAGCCTCACCTTGTCTCAGCTTCGGCCTGCCTCGGCCTCATCCTCAGCCTGCCTCAGCCTCAGTCTCAGCCTCAGCCTGTCTCGGCCTGAGCCTGCCTCGGCCTCAGCCTCAGCCTCAGCCTGCCTCAGCCTCAGCCTCAGCCTGTCTCTCAGCCTCAGCATCAGCCTCAGCCTCAGCCTCAGCCTGCTTCGGCTTGCCTCAGCCTCAGCCTCAGCCTGCCTCGGCCTCAGCCTCAGCCTCAGCCTGCCTCAGCCAGCCTCAGCCTCACCTCAGCCTGCATCAGCCTCAGCCACAGCCTGCCTCAGCCGCAGCTTGCCTCAGCCTCAGCCTCAGCCTCAGCCTCAGCCTCAGCCTCAGCCTCAGCCTCAGCCTGCCTCAGCCTCAGCCTCAGCCTCAGCCTGCCTCGGCTTGCCTCAGCCTCAGCCGCAGCCTGCCTCAGCCTGCCTCAGCCTCAGCGTCAGCTCAGCCTCAGCCTGCATCAGCCTCAGCCTCAGCCTCAGCCTGCCTCAGCCTCAGTCTCACCTCACCTCTGCCTCAGCCTGCCTCAGCCTCAGCCTCAGCCTGCCTCGGCCTCAGCCTGCGTCAGCCTCAGCCTCAGCCTGCCTCAGCCTCAGCCTGCTTCAGCCTCAGCCTCAGCCTGCCTCGGCGTGCCTCAGCCTCAGCCTCAGCCTGCCTCAGCCTCAGCCTGCCTCAGCCTCAGCCTGCCTCAGCTCGGGCATTCAAAATATGGCACAGGACTGGTGTTCTGGGAACACGAAGATCACGAAGTGGTCCACAGTTGGCTCCGGACAATCAAAATATTGTACCGGAATGGTGTTCTGGGAACACGAAGAACACGAAATGGCCTACAGTTGGCTCCGGGCATTCAAAATGTGGCCTGGGAATAATGTTCTGGGAACACGAAGAACACGAAGTGGCCTACAGTTGGCTCCGGGCATTCAAAATGTGGCCTGGGAATGGTGTTCTGGGAACACGAGGAACACGGAGTGGCCTACAGTTGGCTCCAGGCATTCAAACTGTGGCCTGGGAATGGTGTTCTGGGAACACGAAGAACACGATGTGGCCTACAATTGGCTCCGGGCATTCAAAATGTGGCCTGGGAATGGTGTTCTGTTGGCTCCGGGCAGTCCAAATGTGGCCTGGGATAAGGTTTTGGGGAGTCCCTGGATTCCCGCAGAACCCGTCTGGCATCTGCCCAGACCCCCTGGGGAGTCATGATGCTCTCTTTTGAGACCACTAGAAACCAATCAGTCTTCGCTGTTAGGTAAAAATCATACTTCAGGACCATAAACGGTGAGGAGGCCTCGGGCGAACCGCACAGCCCGCCCAACCGACACGCCTGGGGCTGCGACAGAAGGAACCGTCCATAAAGAAGAAGGATGAGGGAGGACGAGGACGAGGACAAGGACGACGAGGACGACAAGGACGACACGGACCACAAGGACCACGAGGAGGACGCACCACGGGACGGGACGCACCCCAGGACGACGTCCGAAATCCTGGGATGTACGCACCCCAGGATCCCAGGATGGGTCTGGGGGTCAACTTTGGAAGGCCGAGGGATGGTGGGGAGGAGAAGGAGGACAAGTGGAAACACGAGACGCCTCAGGGGGCTCGAAAGTCTTTCAAGGAGAGGCCTGCGTCGTGCTCGCAGCAATGACGACTGTCGGCTCATTGAGCCCGTGCCGCTGACGAAGAAGCAAGTTCTCCCACTACCGATGGAGAAAGAGGAGGGGGAGGAAGGAGGGGGAGGCGGAGGAGGAGGGGTAGGGGCCCATGAGCTTCTCAGCCGCCCTGGGACAGGCGTCCCCCACTGCAGAGGAACTATAGATGAACGCACCGCCTCCTGCGCCCGCCGAGGCCCAGGAAGCGGTGAGACTTGGAGAGCAACTCACGGAAGCTTCTGCTGAGCGCTGCCGGGGCGCTGCTCGCCGACAGATGTGCTACGGGCACAGGTGCACTGCGCTACGGGCACAGGTGCAGTGACTCCTCGGCGCAAGCCTACTGCTGAGCTAATGACGCCGTGCGTGTTGACAGTCGCCGGACCGCTCGGACGAAGCGTGTCGCTGCCTTCAATGCCCCGTGCCTTGCACGGCTTCGGGATGCTGGCGTTGCCCTCGCATTGCCCAAGCTGGGCGCCGCGGAGCGCGCGCCCTGAGGACGTGCTGGACGAGCGGGGGGGGGGTGCAGCGACGAGAGGAGGAGGCGGAGGAGCAGGAGAGGGTTATCCAAATGTTGCTGGGGGGATGGAGGTGGGGGTCTCGCCATCTGCTCGCTATTCGCAGCGCCTGATCCTGGAGCGCTCACCGCCGGATGCCTTCCAGCGAGGTGTGCTTCACCAGCGTCGGCCGAGGCCGACGCCGACTCACGCTACGATCGTGTGCGCTCGGCGGCCTGGGTGGCAAACACGAGGTCTTCCCACAAAAACGACGGACACGCCGATGATCAAGCCGATGATCTTCCGACGCACGCGCACCACTGATACTCCCCTTCTCCAAAGAGGGCGCACTCTAACGAATTAAACCGTACCCGTACGCTAAGCAACACGACGCGGTGCACGATCACCTGCGTATTTCCGCGCCGCGCAAGCGCAGACGCGCTCCGCGGGCCAGTGAGGGGGGCCTCTGCGCTGATCCTAGAAATCCATGCGGACCTTCTTGGAGAAATTACCGGCGTGATGGAGAAGAGGAGGAGGAGGAGGAGGAGGAGGAGGAGGAGGAGGAGGAGGAGAGAAGAGAGGAGGGGAGGAGGAGGAGGGAGGAGGAGAGGGAGGGGAGGAGGAGGAGGGAGAGGAGGGAGAGGGAGGGAGGAGGGAGGAGGAGGAGGAGGAGGAGGAGGAGGAGGAGGAGGAGGAGGAGGAGGAGGGAGGAGCGAGGAGCGAGGAGGGAGGAGGGAGGAAGGATCCATCGGAATCGAATCGGAGGCATCGAGACGAGCCCTGCACGGCCCGAGCGCGCTGGAGCGCACTGCCCTGGGCCTGCGCAGGGCGCCGTGGGCATCAAGGGGACCCAGCAGCCAAAAGCAGAACTGCGTGCGCGCCTCTCTCCCGGCCGACCCTCTTGGCACGGCCGTGGGGCGGGGCTCCCGGGAGCCTGCAACCCCCGTCGAGCACGGAAGGCAGAGGGTTGTGGATGCCACGACAATGGACACCCTTACAGTCCTATCATCGAATTAAAAATGTGCTTAAAGTGTCGGAAAATTCCCTGAGAATGCTTCCAACATGTTGTTCACATGTTTAAAGCATGTTCAGGGCCTGCAGCCCCCGTCGAGAATTGAGTCGGGCCTCTCCCTCTACAGGAGGAGTATTCAGAAATAGTAGAAAAATTGTCTGGGGACGATTTTGCGACCACTTGTAAGTCTTTTAGGGTATTCTTGTTACTGATTCTTCGTCCACAATTCCCCTGTAGAGGGGGACAAGCCCGACTTAAGTCGAGCACGGAAGGCAGAAGGCAGCCCGGCAGATCGGACGGCGCGCCCCGAGGGAGACTGCCGCCGGCTGCGGGAGCCGGCGCTGGGCGTGGAGTCCAGGCACGCCGCCCCGCAGGCGCGCCTGGCTCGCCAGGGGCTGACGGACCAATTCTAGGTGCGCGCTTCCTCCCCCCCGACCTCCTCCACCTGCCCCACCACCACCACCCTGTCCTCCTCCTCCTCCTCCTCCTCCTCCTCCTCCTCCTCCTCCTCCTCCTCCTCCTCTCCTCCTCATCCTCCCCAACCTCCTCCACCTCCCCCACCACCATCACCCCCTCCTCCTCCTCCTCCTCCTCCTCCTCCTCCTCCTCCTCCTCCTCCTCCTCTTCTTCCTCCTCCTCCCCTCGCGCGTCCGCGGCGAGGGCGTCAGCGACGAGCCGTCCTGCCTCCGTCGCGGGGCGTCTTGTTCGCGTGGTACTAAAAACTGTTGTCTGCGAAGGGCATTGGCGCGCAGCGTAGACAGGGCCAGCATCGAAACGCAATGCGCGACGGAGTGCATCCCAGAGCAGCTGCGCAGAACGACCTGCGAGGCTCAATAGGTGTGCGACGGCCAGCCGAACGAATACAAATGCGCGCTGATTCACGAGGAACGGCCTGAGGAAACGAGCCCCTCGGCTCTCTGGCGACGCCCCGCCGCAGCGCGGTCAGCTCACCGACACGACGCTGCACTGGTCGGCCCCCAGGCAGCTCACGGCGGAGCTGGGCGAGCCCGCGCACGAGCTCGAGCCGATCGACACCTGCTCACAGACCTTTGGCGAGTGGCTCGTCGAGGCGTCGACGTCGAGTGCACCCTTGCTGGCGTGAACGGCGCCAGGCGGCGGCTCGCCCGCGGTGCGGCCGGCACCGCCGACGCAGCCAGAGCAGGTCATGCTGCCGAAGCCGCCGATGATGCTGCCGCCGACGAGTCTGCTCGCCATCGACTGCGTGATCTGCGGGGTGCCATCTTTCGCAAACGTCCACCGGGTATCCACCGAGATGTGAAGGCCACGGCGGCTCGCGAGGGCGCCGACAGCGGCTCTGCCTCTGACGCGCCCGCTCGCCACCGGCTGCGTAGTCTGCGGAATGCCATGCTTCGGGACCGCCCACCCGGTATCATCGGAGATCTGAGGACCACGACGGCTCGCGGGGGTGTGATTCGCCGCGCTCTCCCACAACTCGGACGGCGGACTGCGCATCCTCCCTGGGCGCGCCCCTGCCGATGCCGGGTGGACCTTCCGAGTGGCCCGCTGCTGACGTCGTGGCGGATACCTCTCGTGCAATCCTGCGGTCTGGCTCGTGCCCATGTGGGCCGAATGTCTGTTCTCCACCACTCTACAGAGCCGCTGGACAAGGAGCCTGAGCTCCTGGACAAACATCGGAATGGTGGAATTCGCCCAGCCGATCCCTGAGCCAACCCGCTTGAGCCAGAATGGCTACGAAAGACGCCTCGGGGGGCTCGTTGAGACCCTCATGATGGGTCAATGAGGTTAGCGTTCTCGCCTTTCCGGGTTTCCGACTCACCGAGACGGCCGTAGGCCCCCAAGATCCAAGACGGCCCACGAGGCCCCCAAGAGGCCCGCAAGACGGCCCGAGAGGGCCACAAGACGAGCAAAGAGGCCCCTTAAGACTGCCCCAAGTCGGCCCCAGAGGCCTCCAAGACAGCCATAAAGCGCCCAAAGAGGGATCTACGACTGCTCAGAGCGAGCCCCAAGACTGCCTCCGAAGGCCAAGAAGAAGGCTTTCAGATGCTCCCAGAGGCCCCAAGAGAACACGTAGAGACCCTCAAGGGGCTCCCAGGAAACACCCAGACGGCCCCAAGAGGCTTCCTCCTCCTCCTCCTCCTCATCATCTTCCTCCTCCTCCTCCTCCTCCTCCTCCTCCTCCTCCTCCTCATCCTCCTCCTCCGCCTCCTCCTCGTCCTCCTCCTCCTCCTCCTCCTCCTTCTCAGCCTCCTCCTCCTCAGCCTCCTCGAATCCTTTTCCTTATAAATGACTTTTCCCTGTCGCCCCCAGAGGCCAGTTTTTAGGGCGGGCCAGGCGTTTCGCCTGTGACCCTGAAGCGTCAAAATTGGCAACGGTTTCACATATGGAGGGCGGGTGGTTTTCAAAATGTGGCTCTCGCCTTAGCGCCGCGCACACTCGTTATAAACACTTGCAAGAGTTTCACGGATTGAGGGAGACCCGTATTCAAAATGCGGCTCTCGCCTTAGCGCCGCGCACACTCGTCTTAAAAATTTGCCAGAGATTCACGGATCGAAGGGAACCCGTTTTCAAAATGCGACTCTCGCCCTATCGCCCCGCACGTTCGTTTTAAGAAACTGCAACAAGAGCTTCACGGATTGAGGGCGGTTCCATTTCAAAATGTGGCTCCCGCCTGGGCGCCGCGTACATTCTTTTTAAAGAGTTGCAAGGGTTTTACGGATTCCCATGATCAAAATACCAGAAACGGTGCTTCGGAAGGATACTGGATTATGAGGGCGCAACAGTTACGTTCTTTCGCGGTGTTGAAGTCCCAAGATTGGCGTTCTGGCACGATTCAGGATCGTCGAAACGCAACAGTCCGGTTGATCCGCGGCGTTGGAATTCTGGGAGCAATGTTTTGACATTCTTCAGGGTCGTCAAACGGTTGTCTTCCAACGAGGCAGTTCCCTCGATGGAAATGAACCGTTGTAAGGGCATATGACGAGGAAGCTCGGAGGGAGGGTGTATTCCAACAACGTTGACGACTCTTGGGATTACCCTGTTCTCCTCCTCCTCCTCCTCCTACTCCTCCTCCTCCTCCTCCTCCTCCTCCTCCTCCTTCTCCTCCTGCTCCTCCCCTCCTCTCCAATCCGCTCCCTTTCCCTTTCCCTTTCCC